TAAAGAAAAAAAAGATTTTTTTGATTTCATTGCGGAAAATTCTTATTGTCTAATGGGATTTTAATAGCAATGAACTATTTTTTTTTTTGTACAAAGTCTATCAACTTCTATGGATAAATTTCAAATATTTGAAAAAATTTTCTCAGTAAAATATGGCGAATTTTTCTTTAATAGAAAAATTTTGCAATAGAAAAAAGAAGCGCCTAAAATGTTAAATAAGGACTATTTATAGTTTCGAATGACAATTTTTTGTTTTATTACATAATAAAATATAAAAAATTATCTTTGAAGATAATAGGTGAACTGTTTTACCTAAAAATTCAGTCATTTTCAGCCTATTCGTACTAAGTGACATGAAAAAAAGGTTGTAACATTATATTTATTTCAACATAAACTGATAAATAACATGAACTTTATACTAAAAGTTTTTTTTATGACTAATAGTCAGTCAAAAAGTATTTAAGGGTCCGTTTTAAATAACTTCTTATTGATAAAAGATAGAAATTTACAACGAAGCGATTTCAAATCGGAATCAAAATCAAGGCTTTTATATAATAAAAATAAAATCAAGGCTAAAAATTCCGACATAATCCTGCAAATAAAAGATCTGATTTCAATATAATAATAGCTGTCCTTGCTAGTGTCTAACCATATAAAATTCCTCGAAATGACTCATTTTTAAAAAAATAATTCATGATAAGTGTAAAATAATAAGATAACTACGAAAAAAATCAAGTTAACAATAAATTCAATTTTTATGTCATTCAAGATGCGTGAATCGTTTTCTTTTTATCCATTGGGCATTTCTACAGTGAAATGGCTTCTCCCAAACTTAATTAAATCAGTGTCATAAGCAACATCTACATAAACTACTCCTGTGGTTGATTCCATATCGACTGTATTGGATTAATGCTAAGGGGTAAAGAATTAAAGAATGTTTACTTATTAAATAATAGACTGTTAAATAAATTATCTCATTCCATTTCTTTGAAATAAACATAAGTACAAATAATTGCATCCACAAAATGATAATTCTTACAATAACATTACGTATTTAAGATAGTCTTTCGAAGTTTTTTTTAAAACTTTTTATTTGCTAAATAATCATCATAAAAAAATATTTTCATTCAGGCATGTTATGCTCGTATTCTTGATTATAAACGGAAATTTGTCGAAGCTGCACAACGTTACAATGAATTATCACTTAAATCAATTGTTAGCGGTGAAGAACGTATGAAAGCTTTAGATAATGCATTAATTTGTGCTATATTGGCACCGGCTGGTCCACATCGATCGAGAATGTTAGGTACATTATTTAAAGATGAACGATCTCAACGATCACCTGCCTATTCAATGTTAAACAAAATGTAAACAGAACATGTTTTTCTTTTATGTTTGTACATACATAACATTCTTGAAAATATTTTAGGTATTTAGATCGAATTATAAGTCCGCATGATGCAAAACAATTTGAAAGTCTTCTAACTGAACATCAAAAAGCGACAACACCTGATGGTAAAATTATTGTATAAAAAAAACAAAGGAAGACTTATTGATCAAAGATTGTTTTTCTTTTATAGGTTATACAATTCTTCAACGAGCAGTTATCGAACATAATCTTGTTGCAGTAAGCAAAATATACACAAATATAACATTTGCTGAATTAGGTGGTCTTCTTGGAATTCCGAGTGAAAAAGTAAAATCAATTAAATTAAAATATTTCAATAAAATTCTTTTTAATTTTAGTCAGAAAAAATAGCATCACAAATGATATCTGAAGGACGTCTAAGTGGTTTCGTTGATCAAATTGAATCTGTTCTTCATTTTCAAGGTTAAATAAAGATAATTTTAATGAAATAAAAAAAATCATTTATTTTTATTTGTATTTTATAGCTAGTGAACAACTTGCTCAATGGGATCGTCGTATTGAATCATTTTGTGTGCAAGTTAATCAAGTACTCGATAAAATTCAAGCTGTTCATCCCGATTGGTGCCAAAAAACGATGGCATTAGTTGAAGCAAAAATCAATGCAGCAACAAATGATGAGGATGATACGGGTATTGTTGAAACAAGTACAACAACTGTTAAACCAATGGATGTTTCTTAACTAGTATTATTCGACTAATATTGACTGATTTTTTTTCTCCTGTGTTCTTTTCTTTCTTTTTTTTTTTATTTTATACATAAATCCAGAGATTATGAAGGAAAAGAAAAAGGTAATTTGAGATGCATACATATGTACTTACAATTATTTATTTATTTATTTATGATGATACTTTAAAAAAGAAAGAAAATGTCAGAACAATATTTCGATTGAAAATCCATTGTATTGAATTTAGTATTTCTTTTGGTTACCAGTCAAATATTGATTGCAAAATAATGAGTCCATTACTTCAACTAGCATCAGTTGCCTATTTATAAACACTGATGGGAGTATAACTCGTTATGAGTTGTTGTTTTTTTTTTTCTTCTTCCTTCCATTCTATATCCATTTTCGTTCTGTGTCAGTCGTGTTTTTTTTTTTCGATTGCCTTCCCTCGCTTTTTTTTTTCTTCTTATAGGTGGTGCGTCAGTTTCATAATAAAGAGAGAACGAGAACTATGTTTTTCTATTTGTTGTCGTTTGAAGACAGAGAACAACGACAAGATTGAACTTTTGTCCGATTTGACTTTTTCTATTGCTCGATTGTGTTTTTGTACGTATATGTCAAGACAAAAGAATTAATCCATACATAGCATGGAGGAAAAAAATGGAGACAACGGAAAAAGAAGAGAAAGCGAGCGATTGACAGTACAACAAAACAAAAGCCATACGCGTCGTCCATTGTCAAATCGTACGAGTGACAATTATCAAGTGAGTCGTATTATTTATTTGTCCTTTTGTTTTTTTATATTTTATCTAAACATTTGTTTAAATAAAGATCAATCATAATAGTCATAATACTGATAATACTAATAATAATAGTCGACGTAGTATAACAGTTTCCATAACCGATGATAAATCTCATTATCAACCCCTTACTAATCGTCGATCGGAACGTATTCAATCATCGATGAATAATACATCACCATTAGTACAGTATACTTCAAATCCTTCCCTAAGTGATCAACAAGAACAAAATCGTCATCATCATCAACAACAACAACAAACAACAAATGACGAAGAAACATCAACATATTCATTTCGACATGTAACTAAAAAATTACAACATGCTAAATCACATGGTGAACTTTATCAACCATCAGTACCATTACCACTTCCACCCATGATAAAAATAAATAATGATGAAAATGAAATAAAGTATCAACAACAATATTCATCTGAATCACCACAATCATCAACATTAATCAGAGCTCGAGCAGCAACAACAGTTGTACCAATATTAACACGTCCAATAATAAATTCATCGGATGATACATTTAACTCAACATCAACATCATCATCATCAAATAAAATTCCATTATGGAAACGATTTAAAAAAATGATTGCATCAAATAAACGAAGTAAAGAGAATTCATCAATTAAAGTTCCAACATTACAATTTAATGAATTATCAACCAATGATTCAAGTAAGATGTTTTACAAAAAACGTAATAGATTTTTGTTTTCTCCTTTCAACTTCTATCAAGGTATATTTACGTCATAAACACATCTCAACAACAGAGATAAGAATAGATGACATACAAACACTATTCTTTTTTTATCTGACAAATAATACTTTTTATTTGTTCCATTGTTAGAAATGAGAACTAAAGAAATAATTAAATAGTTTCCTTTTTGTTTTGATTCAAAATATGTAACCGATTATGAACATAGAACGAAAAACAAAACTTGTTTTTAGTTAAAAAATATCTTTGAATTGTTATTGTCAAATCTATAAAAATTGATAAGATAACATTGAAAATGAATTACTTGAAGGTTATTATTAGGTTATTCGATAAACATTCCATTTTAAATTGTTTTTCATACTAGATTCTATCATAAAATATTTGAAGTATTTTTATTTAATAGATCGAACAGTTCCTGATGGTGTCATTAATAATAACAATAATCTTTTACAAAATCCAATAAAATTAAATGAATTACGAACGTGGCTTATTTCAAAACCATTTCCTGAACAACGTATTCGTGATGAATATGAAGTCAGTTAATTAAAATATTGTTTCGAATTGATATTTTATTTTGTACTGTTTTTTTCTTTTCATTAGAAATTACCTACAGAATCTCTTCATCCTAAAACATTTGCATTTCGGCCAGAAAATAAATTAAAAAATCGATTCAATGCTATTGAACCATGTTTGTATACGAATCTTACAATTCACATTAATAAATATAGATTTTATTTAGATGATCATTCTCGAGTTGTACTTAAACCTTTACCAAATGACCCATCAAGCGATTATATCAATGCATCTTATATAGATGGATATCGAGCAAACAAATTATATATAGCTGCCCAAGGTTTGTTCACTATATAACTCATTTATCATCATCACTTATCTGCAATCAACCTCATTTTATACAAGAACTATAGATCTCCATATAGAATGTGCTAGTCTCTTTTACTTTTCAATTAGCGTTTGCAAGAAGTTTCAAACTATCGAGAATCCTGAAAGAAAAAACATAATCTTAGATCGAATTATCTCCTTCTAGATATCTATCAGTAACGGTTATTACACTGATAATATCAGTCGATGACATATAAATTTTGTTCATGTGGGATGGTAACTCAAGTTACATATAAACAGTTCTTAGCCAATTAGAATTTAGGTCGAACAGAATCGGTTTCAGGCCATCATTAGACATGCGTGATATTATCAAATCTTTGCCTTTCTAGATATGATTTAGGAAAAGTTGATCAGATTACATTGATTGATTATGTCTTTTGACTATTGACATGAAAGAGTAGTCTTAACATGTTAACGTTTTTGCTTGGAAAGAGGTTTTAAAAATAAGAACTAATTAAAGAGAAATTAAGAAATACTATGGAAAAAAAGAATTCAAATCAATTATTTATTTTTTTTTTAACTTTGTAATCAAATCTGTATTATAAAATCTTCATACTTTTGATTTCGTCTAATAAATGTCATAAATTACTTCTGTTTTGTATATATTCTGAGGCGATACAGATTTGTATGATAGTTAAATAAATATAAATTAATTTAACACATTGTATCTTTATAGCACCAACTGATACAACTTTATATGATTTTATTCGTATGATTTGGCAATTACGTATACAATCAATAATTATGGTTACTCGTCTATTCGAAGATGGAAAAGTAAAGAAAATAAAATTATTTTTTTTTTTTTGTATAAATATGATTTTGTTCTATTCTATAGCATAAATGTATTCAATATTGGCCAGATGAAGGTGAAAAACGTGTTAATGATTTTAAAATTCGTATTGATAATGAAGAAAAATATGCTGATTATACAATACGTAAATTGATTATATATAATCAATTAGAGGTATTTATTCTTTACTAATTAAAAATAAATTAATCCATATTTACAATTTATTGTTTTCGTTCGATAAACACAATTCATTTAATCAAACAAATAGATTAACCTTTGTCGGAGCTTAACATATACTTTACTTCATTATTCTATTAGAATTTTTCTGTTGAATAACATGAGAAATCTTGATTAAAATTATATATATTTCTATTTATTTATTTTAGCCTTCAGATGTGTTACAAGTTAAACAGTATCATTTTTTATCATGGCCAGGTAAATTAATTGATGTTGTATTCTTCGATATAGTATATGAATGTGTATTTTAGATCATGGTTGTTTATCTTTATGTACACCTGTGCTAGATTTTCGACAGCGTTTTCGAGCTGATTATAAACCATCAAATCCAATACTTGTTCATTGCAGGTTCAATTTTCAATATATTGTTGTTTTTTTGTGCTTATTAAAAATCATTCTTTCTAGTGCTGGTGTTGGCCGATCAGGTACATTTATTGCTCTAGATGCCTTATTAGACAGAGCTAAACATCAAGATACTATTGATATACTTGAATTTACTCATCGAATGAGGTGAACATTCCTTTAGAATACAATTTTCTTATGTTGTTTTTTTTTAAAACTCTAGACAAAATCGTGTATATATGATACAAACAGCAGATCAATATGTATTTCTTTATCGTACATTAATTGAAGGAATTTTAACTATAGATGCAAGTATATCATTACAAGAATTTATGATGACAAGAAAATTACATATGGATGCTAAAAGCCAATATAAAGTAAAAAGAAATAGAAAATAAGAAAAAGAAATTTTTCTTTTGTTGTTAAAAGCTTTTGGAACAATTACAATCAACTGTTGAATTTTCATATCAAGGTGCACTTGATCCAGCTAATGTACACAAAAATCGAGTTGAAACAATTATTGCTCGTAGGTTATAGTATTTGTTTAAATTACAGTTAAAAAACAAAGATATTTTTTTTTTCAGCTGACAATAGTCGACCATATCTAATGACACAAGTTGAAAAAACTACTGATTATATCAATGCTGTATTTGTTAATGTGAGTAGTTTTTATTCTTCTTTTAAATATTAAAATTAATTTTGTCGTTGAAAATCTTAGTTTCATATTCACGAGAGAATACGATCGATTACTTGTGAAGAATAGAAGATAATACCTCTGATTCTTAATTATTTAAAAGTAAATCATAATAAGAATTTTATATGAGCTAATGAACTGGTATAGACTTAGAGAGAACAAGAGTGAAAATTTTTATTAATACCATATTGATAACTTACGTATGATTATTTAAATTATTAGAGTTAAATGAGATTTGTCGATCTTGGATATGACTGAAGATCAGATTTTGATTTGTATTTCAAATAGAAATAAATGTTTCATGAATAATTTTTAAGAAAAACAGGTGAGAATCTTTGTCGAATAATTTTAGTGCGAAAAAGGTTATTTCGAATGATCTTCATTAGAATATAAAATCATGGTTTAAACGCAATGAATTTCTCTGATTGCCGTTATTTGTAATTCGTAGAATTTAATTTTGTAATATTAGAACCAGAAAAAATTTCTTTCAAATATGGGCAAAGAAAATTCATGTTATTAGATTCAGACGGTTCTAT